AACGGTGCAAAGCAACAGGGAGCTACTGGGCCACCCGTGCCATAACCTCATTCATTCAGCGCCCTCGTCTTCTTGATGTGCGCCAAAGCCGAAAATCCCATTAACCGACACACTCTGCCAACTCGAGTACAGCAGAACGGCACGAGTGGCGATTCCGAGCTATTCGCTTACGGCTAATCAAATTTAAGAGTCCTTTTTCCGGTCGGTGTAAACACTTTTCGTCGATGTCAGACGACGCAAGACTCTTGATTGAATACTGCCTCGTAGAACTCATAGAACACTTCACAGAATACTGGCTGGCTCTTGCGGAATCTGATCGAAGAACTACAATCTTTCGGGTCTTAGAATTTCACTTGCGCGCGATACGCAATATCCTCGCTTCTATATCTGCAAAAAAAAAAAGCTTTGTAAAAGACAACTATTTCAGAGAACGGATAAGAAGAGCCGCATATGAACGGTACGCACTGATATTGAGAGTCTGGTGGCGCACCAAACTATGTCTCACTGGGCCATTTGTTCTATCAACAATGCCACCTCATACCTAAAAAATGTGCAGGCGTATATACTTATGAGAGTGAAAAGCGTTAATCGGTAAAGTGTAGCGCGAAACCAGTGAGAGACGTCCTGTAAGTGAGATCGACAAATATAGGTAAGCAACGTGAATACTGCCCAAATCGAAGATATGCAACCTACCTTGCCGTAACTGCTGTCGTGTATACGAGACTGCCAGAAGCCCTAACTTCGAGGTCACTGCATGCGTATACAGACGAGAAAAAGGAACGAAAGGTTATAGCTTCATTACTTCACTCACCTAGACAACGCATCGACGAAGAAACAAGAACATAATAGCGCGGTTCCTGGTGAGTAATTTTTCTGAATACAATATAGTTTTTTAGTCAACCAACGGTAGGAAGATACAAACCCACAGTGACTGTATTATGAAATCGCAAATGCAGTATGCTTTATTTGGGGTCTCCATTTACTTGGTAATTGGAGGTATGCTCGTATGCACGCTTCAACTCATTCGTAAACGAAATATACTGCCACGCGGTTAGCATAACGGATTTGTACTGTTCAGCCGCAGAGAACCGGTGCAAATCCTCAAAAGCATAGGCACAACCAGAGTCCTAACCTATAGCACAGACGTAACTAACGAGCAAGCAGCATGACAGGTGCAAAGCGCAGCTGCTACAGTGTTTTGCAGCTGTTCACAATACAACGCGATGAGCCACTGCAGCCTTTCAGCTGTAGTACAAACTTTTTCGTTGTTCAGAATTTTTGTGCCATCACAACTAATTTTCATAAACAAAGCCATAAGTGAACAAATTCTTGCATTGCTAGTAAACCAATGACTTCGTTCACTAACTTTTAGCTATCTATTCTGAAGTAAGATTAAAATTTATAACGCAAAGCGCATGAAGCGAAGCATCAAAATACGCAAATCTCTTGAAGATGAGCCACTTCTAAAGACAATTTTTCAGGTACTGAACTGCTATTATTCGATTACTTAAGCTGGCCACTAAGAAGAGACAAAAAAAAAAAAAAGCCCTCACTCTTACGATACGGCGAACAACAGTGACATCCCTGACGTAACTCAGAGCGGTATACATAATATTTACCACGCAAGCTGTGCAATTAAATGCGACTGATAAACTATCTTCTGAACCTGCAGTAATGCGTTATAGATGTTCGCTCTCGGCGCATTTCCACACTTGCCGTTTGCAGCGCATAACAATACCAGAGAAACCATCGCAAGCCGACATATACACGGCGAGGTGTGTACAAGAAGGGTCACGCTCAGAAAAGTAAGTGTGCACTGCTCCGGAAAGAGCGCGCATCCCTCTCAGTCTTTGCACAGCAATACACGTGTGTGCGCTTCTTTTTCTTTGTTCGTCGTGGAACGTCACTGGCGTGCGTGAATCTCAACTGCAAGCCGCAAGCGTCAAAGACACGCGATGCACTGTAGCGGGAAGGCCACCGCTGTATACCACCGCCACGGGATATGTCTCTGCTGCCTTCCTCGTGAAGGGTTAAGCCGGCTTTTAGCCGTGCTGGTTCACGAAGGTATACGTCGAGTTTGCGTGCAGCGGCATCCGCTTCTGCAGCAAACAGCAGTTCTGTAGCCCCAAAGGGACGGATTGTGTCTCGCTCGGCCCTCGCGGTCAGGAGACGGGCCGTGACGGCAGCGCACCTCACGCGCTGCGTTAGCCCACCTTGCCAGGGTACGTCCGCTTTGTGTGTCGTGATCGAATTACCGCACCGAAGGGTAGCCCCCTATGTTGGGTCTCCCGGGCTTGTACGCTAGGAGGCAGGCCGTGTCTGTTAAGGCGCCGAGCGGCGGCCCCCTTGCTAGGGTACGGCCTTCTCCCCGAAACAAAAACTGGGAAAACATGCCAAGACAGTCGTATGGATGATGATGGGTTGATGAGTTATCTGTGACTCTGAGACAAAGCGCCTTCGGCGCCGCGTTTCCTTCCCATCTGACAACGGCATGTCTCTGCTAGAGCACAGCTGCACTGTATCCTACACGAAAGCGCTCAGTGAAGCATAGTATTCCCAGAGGCACCAACGAAGATCATCTCTGCAGCTGCAGCGCGCGATTACACCCCTCAAAGCGATAGAGGCAAATGACAATAAGAGCAGGCGTGTCATACAGTGTACTTACAGCGAAGGGAATAGCAGTCTAGCACAATTCCGACAGTCCACGCGAAAACAATCTGCCGAGCACGAAAGCAAGACACGGGCGAGTTCACACGAGGGACAACAAACGCCATCGGCGGAACAGGAACGCGCCGCCTTAAGCTCAGAGGTAAGTTTAACTACACGTTGGAAACCTCCATGCTAATGCCTGAACATCTATGGTTCAGAGGCATCACAGCACACGGCATTCGACGATCGTCTTCGTGAAAATGGTAACGAAAATACGTTAATCACCGACGATATACGATCTACGTACGGGAGAATCCTGGGAACAACAAATTGGCAGATCCCACGTACAGTGGGAATCGATGATATGCGAAGCACGAATGAGAAAGATTGATATGTCACTTCAAAATCAGCACATCGTTACGAGGTGGAGGTAAATGGTGCCGTACATGACTTCCGTGTCATGATTATCATGTTTGGATGTGTTGTTTACCATCGTCATTTATTCACGTCGTGTGATACCAAACTTAGTATATGTGGAGCTAGCGAAACGGCCATAACCACGCTATGAGCGTGGTATGTTGTCATTTTCTTAAATGACACGCTTGTCAGCATTATGATGTTTGCACCAGCAGTCATATACTTTCGTCATCCATTGATGTCACGGAACACCAAATTTGGTACAAGTGGCCTCGGGTGCATCATGAAGGGCCCAATATACTCCAACTTAACGTTGACGCGCGCGCACACTGGACACAGCGACGCTACTTTAGCAAAACGCGAGCACTCTATAGTCCGACGCCTGGCGCGACCGGCGCCACCAGCGTTCGTCGGCGCGGCCCGACAGCAACCGGCGCGAAATGCGGCATGCTGCATTTCGCGCCGATGCGTTACTCAGACAACACTGCATCTCCCTCTTTTCGTGACGGAGGGACGCCGGATGCGCTGAAACGCGCATGCGTCAAAGCAACGCAGACCGGCGTGCGCCTGCGAGTATATGGCAGGACCGGCGCCTGGCGTGGCAACACCGGCGTGAAGCGACGAAATGAACGCCGGCGAGCACGCGCACCGCGTCACGTCGAAATGTACTGGCGCCTTGACTGTGGCATGTAGTCATGTTCTCACATGACACGCATCTATCTCATGGTTATCATGTTTGCGCCAGTCACATACCTTCGTCATTCATTGACGTCACGTAATACCAAATTTGGTACACGTGAACCTAGAGAAACGGCCACGAGAGCATCATGAGCGTAGCATGTAGTCATGTTGTTACATGACACGCATCTGAAGTTTATGATGTTTGCACCAGTATCATACCTTCGTCATTCATTAACGTCCCGTAATACCAAATTCCGTATAAGTGAAGAAAGCGAAACGGCCGCGCATGCATCATGAGCGTAGCATGTAGTCATGATGTTACATGACACGCATCTCATGATTATCATGTTTGCACCAGTCACATACCTTCGTCATCCATTCACGTACTGTAATACCAAAGTTGGTGTATGTGACGCTAGCGAAACGGCCGCGAGCACATCATGAGCGTGGCATGTAGTTATGTTGTTACATGACACGCATGTCATGATTTTCATGTTAGGGTCTGTCGCTTGTGTTCGCCATGCAATCATGCCTAGTCACATGTACTGTTTTATTTGAAGAAATAAAAAATTATTATTATTATTATTATTATTATTATATTATTATTATTATTATTATTATTCATTCCAGCCTTCGGATTGTTTTGCCGTTTATACCTTCGTGGTATTTCGAACCATGCCAATGAAGGTTGCCCTAAATGTAACGGCCTTCTCAGCGAAGCATGCGAATATGCGTAGTGCATTCATCCAGTAAGAGGCAAAGGGAAATTTTTCTCACCTGCAATGATTGAAAGAATCACGTGCATATACCCTAAAGGTATACTCGTACTCTTGGTAGATTATTTCTATCACAGATGTTTAGCTCTCCAGCCGAATCAGAGCACAGCGTCGCAAAAAATGAAAGCCGGGGTCGAAGGGAGAACCGACAGCATGCAGTGGACGCACGAAACTAATAAAGTTTGGCATCGAAAGATCGCTGTCGGAATGAATGCATTTCTTTCGTCGCAAACACAAACGTCGAGCCAAGGATCGAAGACACTGCGTAACCGCACGGTTTGCTGTTATATACGACTACACCTTCCGTAGCGTATGGGTGACACACGGAACAAAGAAAGAAATAGCCAAGAGTGATGACTCAGTACAATATTCTAGAGGCGGCGGTGCGCAAGAAAGAAAGGACGCACTGGAAAGAAAACAGAAGTGGCTTTCGACAAAACAACAACAACAAAAAAAAAAAGCTTCCGCGGAGCTCACCGGTATTCCGCCGGAGGTGCCTTGGATCTGTGCTTGATGGACTCTAGGATGCTCGGTGCTATGGCGCTGACAGGAACCCCAACCATACTGCAGTGCACCGCTGTAGCACACTCATTCGCTCTACGTTCTCTGCACTCGGGTTGAACGCGCTAAAACTTGTGCGCGCTGGACGATGGCTTCGTTTGTTGTGGTCACGTGGGACGCGATTTAATCGGGCGAGTAGAGAGGGCACCGGAGAAAGGAAAGTGGGGGCGGTGTACGCGCGAAACCCTTCGTGTGGCCGCGTGGCGCGACAGTTGGACGTGTGCGCGCGCCCTATCAAGGGACGGGGGACATGCGGGTCACCTTTCCGCAGCGAACCCCGGCGTGTTTACTCAGTCTCCGGCACAACAGCCGCGCATATCGGGAGCTCCTCTCCGTAGAACGCGCAACGCACGCGACTCGGGAGCGCAGTCTCGCGGCCGAAAAGGAAACAAAAGGCTTTTGTCTAAGCACGACGACGTCGCGCTATCGACGAGGCGCCACGGTCCGTCCGACAACGCGGGGGCAATTAGCCAGGGACGGAAGTTTACCCACGCGTCGGTCGCTCCTATACCTGCCGCCGCACACACTCCCTGCAGTTTCGCTGGGATTAAAGGAGTCGTGAAACGGTCGCTTTACAACGACAATACGGCACCATCGGCAGCCACATGCGCTAACTGTATCATCGGCCCGAGTGGAGCTGCATAGAAACTTTGCCTATCGAGGAACGCGGAACTCTACGGCATATCGAGGAACGCGGAAAAGGCGTTCATCGGCGTCTGCCATACGCGATCCGCGTCTCACAAGGACGCTGCCTAATATGACGTCAGAGTTCAAGTTACTCGCTGATTGCGTATGACAAAGACGCTGACGAGTGTCCCAGTTGCACGCACGCAAGTACCGAAAGGATCCGCGTTCCTCGATAGGCGAAGAATTACTTATGATGACGTCACCTAGTTAGTGCATGTGGACGCCGGTGGCTTCACATTGTCGCTTTAGAGCGAGCGTTTCACGACCCCTTTAAATTTGCGGCGCAGCCTGAAAGGCCCCGCTGCGGCACTCGCTGTCAAATGGGGGGCGACACAACGGCGCACACCACACACGGGTTCTCGCGATGCTTAGTGTGCATCACAAGAGATCTGGCAGTTACACCGAAGTACATACATACGCGCACCCAGCATTGGAAATCGCGCGCATCTCCCGTGTGGCGTGTATCGAACTGCCAGACAGTGTCGGTCTAATGCGATCCACATGATGCCTCTAAGATGTTAACAATGAGACAAATGATGTTATCTTACTAGTGACAGGAGCGATGAGTGGCTCATGCTTTTCTTTCAAACATTTCCGGTCCCGCATTCACTTCCTGTTCCCCGGATATTCAGAAAATAAACACAGTAAAAATAAAATTGGTATGGGATCGATGGTTTTGGTTGAAATTTAACAACAATAATCATTGAAACATTAGGTCTTAAAATTACATGATTATGAAAAACACCGCAATGAAGGGCTCGCAAAATTTCGACTATTCGAAATTTCGTCATCATTGCGCTGACATCAATCACAGTAAACGGCCTATCGCATTTCGCCTCAATCAAAATGCCAAAACCGGGATCGAAACCGCGACCTTCGCGCCAGCAGTCGAGCCCCGTAACCACGGCGGCGGCTGCAGTTAAAGAGGCATATTGGATACATACGATGTCGAAGCGGCAGCTGGCGGAGCACATCTCAAGCTCCATATGTGGCCTCCGAGATCAACTTCAGCAGTGTGACGAAACACAAAAAGTTAACCCAAGGAGAAAACACCAGTGCACACGAAAGCCAAGGTTCGATGCCACTATATAGCAGACACCAAAGTCGACCGATGGTTCGGGCTGCCGACATTTTTTCATGTGTGGAGCACTTTTGGATCCCGCGGCCTGTCGTATGCTGTCATCGCTTGGCGTAACGCAGGCGAAGCTACGTACAAAAATACAAAAAAAAGAGGTAACAAGCTAGCAGTAGTAAGAACGAGAACGAAAGGGGAGACAAATAGTGAGAGAAATAGAAACAGATAAAAATAAGAAAATTGTAAAAAAGAAAGAGAAAGAAAGAGAGGATGAAAGATAGAGAGAAACGAAGAAGGCTGCCCAGCGCCGTACTTCCTTCGCGCTTGGCACCCCGAAGCAGCCTTAACTTTAAAGCACAATGGCCGCGGACGTGTGGTATACAATCATAGAGTTTCCTATTTATACACTGTCTGGCGCTAGTGTCTACGGAAGCGGCAACGCATAGCGCTTCAGCAAGCATGGGAATTACGGGTAGTACAGGAATTCTCCTAGTTTTCAAACTTTGCGTTCCTTCTGGCTTAGCGTGGCTTGGAGCTGTTCTGTCACGAAACAACAATCAGCAATAGTTTATCGTTACACTTCACCACCTTAACATATTAGGCTCACCATTTTGGATCTGGTCACTAAGTTTAAAAAGCAGTTTGCTCTTTCATTCAAACCAAAACCGAAAAATGCAGCAATAAACGAAACCACAAATTCGATTCGAGGTCCGTTAGTACGACCCGTGGATGATCTGCATGATCGCTGAACGATCGCAGCGCCAGAATCCCCTCTACCTTTTTTAGGAATCTCTATATGGGATACATGATAGCGAAGTTTAGAGAGAACAATATAACGAAGGGACACCTCCAAAGCGCTTCCATAGAAATAACGAAAAGACTGTAAACATGGCTACCCTCGCTATTACGCACACGAATGACGAAGGTCTACGTGCGCGCGATCACGTGTTGGCGAATACATGATGGCATGGCCGATCGTGCGCACTTGATCCTTGTGAAGTATGCGCGCGTTAGCGATACTTAAAACACCTTTTGAAATAGTTTCCGAGAAACAGTCGTCAGAATACGCGGCTGCAAGAGGTGCGCAATCAGATACAGAACAACACTGGGCCAATACACGCATTCCTACAGCGAAGAACTCTCGAAATTGCACTGGCTTGTAGTGAGCGCGCCGTTTAAGACACCGGAAAGGCAAATAAAAAAATTAACTATAAAACGCACTTAGTTCGCGATCGTTAAACGTGCTTAGCTTCGACAAAGTGAGTTTCCTCAAACCAACACTCCCTATAGCTTTTATTACCATATATGTTTCTCTCTTCGAAGTCACCACGCAAATTTGCATATATACTGAAGAAAAAAAGCGCAACCGATTCCGCCGTTCAAAGTCTTCCACACGATGGAGTGATACCTATACGCCGCTTTTTGAACAGTGGCGTGAAACAGGAAAACGCATACAGTGGTTTGTCGTATAACGAAAGGCGCGCGTTGCACGTTTGAGGAAAACGTCGAGGGAAAAAAAGCGCGCACGGCCATCAGTTTATGTATATGTAGGCTCGAAAAAGCTGTACAAGTCACGTGCGTATCGATACACCCTCAGGGTCGCTGTCGCATAAGCAACAAGAATAGCGCTACCAGCAAGCGGCTATGGAGAGTTGCTTGTACACTGCTGAAACGCGGCATTGGCTATACGAAAAACTGTTGATGAAACCATGCAATTACAGATCCACATAGCTTAAAACGAGAAGGCATATGTTTTTAAAATATCTGCTGGTTTACGTGCCAAAACCACGGCATTATCAAGGTGAACGCCTTGGTGGAAAGTCGCGGAACTTTCGAACGTCTCGTTCTTTTTTTTTTTTTTAGCGTGCACTCGCATAGTGGGCATATAGCGTGTCGCCTCCACAGAAATGCAACCCCCCCGGCCAGGATCAAACTCACGACATTCAACTCAGCAGCCCATAACTTTGCAGCTGTTCCACCATGGCGGGCGGTGGATGTATCTTTCGTAGAACGATTAACGAAGTAAAAATGTGAGTAAAAAAGTCCCGCGGCCGATATCCATGCACTGCCTATTATGTGCTCTCAAAAGAAAACTCGCGTACATTTCCATAAAATTCAAGGACTTGATGGAACCGCGGTGGTATACAGGTATTAACAGATAATCACAACAAGAGGAGGTACGTTCGATTCCTGCATGGTCATGGCGGCCTATTCGCACAAAAACGAAATGCACAAATGAGAGAGAGGGAGACGCCAGCGCACACTTAGCTTTAAAGGCACCTTAAGGAATTTCAGCTGCTCACAAGTGACCCGCGGCGTACCTCATAGTCACATTGTAGTTCTGGCATGTATAACAGGAGCACCTGATTAACAATAAGTATTTGATAGAAATAGACGCGACAGATTACCGGCGTTCACATCAGCTCGTATACCAGCTCGAAAGCACGAGATCGTGGGGCCGACGTGTTTACCAAACTTAGCGATACGTGCGGTTGGCTGAGGCAACGGGTTACAAAGGTACGAGTTGTAAGTCAGCAGCGTCACAATGAAATTACGACGGACGAAAGGGGCCAACCAACGCAAGCCCGATTGCGTTATGTGTTTGTAGAAAAGGAGTGCCTATCGCAAGAGAAATTCCGCGTTTAAATATTTTCCTACGGGGTCATTTCACAAGGAACCCCCGTCAACAGTTCTTTCCTCCGTTACCAGCACAGGGGTTGTTTGTCATTGTGGCAACCCTTCCGCTCGCTTAGAGAGTGAAGAAATCAGTTAACTTCACTTGCACTTCAGCGATGATTTTGTAATGGCAAGACTACGACAGGAATGCAGCAGATAGTGCACTTATACACGGTGAGTATGCCAACACGTCGGATCCATCACACGATACATGTATATATTTTCGCGCAAAGCCGACAGTCGCATCAAAAGGGACACGCTGCGTGTGACGCGGCGACAATTGAAGTGCATCTTTCAGTATCACCAGTCTACTTTATGACAAACTGCATCGACTTTATTAAATCAAAATTACCTCAAAGTATACGCATGGTTCCAGACATACTAAGACCAATGTATCCATGGGGAGGGGCGGGGGGTTCCCCCTTTCTCTGACCATTTCTTTCTCGCTGTACTTCTGTCTTTCACTTTCTGTTTTACCCCCAACCCTCCTGCCCTACCTCCTTACCCCTTTCATCACTCTCACGTCCATTCTCACCACCACTCTCATTTCCCACCAGCTCGCTATACTGTGCTCTACAAGGCTCTAGCGTGCCCATGGTCTGCTAGAGTGCCTTGATAGCGACGTGGTTACGACGTTCGTCCTTAGATCATGGACACGCGGGTTCGAATCTCGCCTCGCTAAATTTTTTTTCGGCGAAAATTCCTCTTTCCCTTTCTTTTTTCTCCCTGCACTCATTCTCTCGCCCTTCAGTTATTGAATCCCACACGGGACAAATGGGTGGGCGCTTTCTGTGAGAGAAGAAGAGAGAGCGCCAGTTTATGATGATGATAATCATCTGTCGACAACTAAAGGCACACAGGAATAAACATGGTCCATCTCCCTGACGAAGACCC